CACTACTATGAAAAACAAACTGAATAGACTATACATAGATACAATCTGAACGTGGGCCAATATATAACTGAAATCACGTGTTATTTAAATTCTTTTACAGAAAAACATATAATATAATATATTGGATTAAACAAGAATCCTCGGTGACCGAACGGCAATACTATACCTAATACCAATCCTAAAATGTCGCCGACAATAATAAATAAACTACTATTTAAACAAACTGGTTATTGACTGACCTGGACATAAATACAATTACATATGTTTTATTATAATGCACCATTTATATAAATATTAATTTTACTTTCAGCAACTTTAAAGAAACTGATTATTGAGGACAAAACGCCTATCAATGATAACAACAATCTTAATAACTATCAACACGAAATCGATGATCTGGAAATAGTATTAGACCTCTTAGCAAATCAAGAATTATGGATACGTCGTATTATTTGTTATTGATTGTAGTAACATTAAAGCTGGACTCTTGTTTAAACGAGCAAATGAATATAGTAGAATTAAAGCTGACATTCACTCTGCACCATCCAAAAAGACTAGGAAATTTCTTATTAAAGGAGCTAAATCTCTAACCACAAATACGAAATATTCGAGATCCTAATATCCAATATTTAAGATACATTGAACATTTTTAAATCAGTATCCCATCATGGATTAATAATCAAATAATGGCAGAAGTTTAATGTAACCAAAAAATAAACCATTGATCATACAATTACTGTATTATATCCAACAATATTGGCTGGGTGATTTTTTTATCTTTTAAAATATACCGTACCATTGTACACCTACAGTATATTTTCGAGCAATAACTTATATCAAAAGGTGATTCAATGAAATGTGTTGTCAGACTGATATATTATGAATTTTACTTTTAACTTAAACAGATAATCCTTTGAAAAATATAAGCTATATATATAAAAGAAACCATTCATTAATACCCAGGTCAAGGTTTCTTTAAACTTAATACACCTCTTTTAATAGAAAAAGACTATATAAAACGTATTCAAGAAATTGTGACCTGCAAATATATATATATTGATATAAAAAGACAAATCGTTCTGGTGAGTTTATGTAGAATGTTTATATAATGACCAATTTAGCTGGTACCCTAATCAAATAAAGTTGAAACTGTCACCCCTAGTTACTGTGCTAAATCAAATTAATGGATAGGCCTAGATATGTTAAAGGGAGAGATAAAGAAAGACGTTCACAGTGAATCTGTAAAAAGACCCCCACCTACAGGTATCATTAAACTATGATTCAGCCAGTATAAATGATTTTCTCGATACAATGAAGTTTTGAGGCGTGCTCAAGCTAAGGTATAATTAAAAGTGTATTTTCTTTACCCATTTTTCGTCTATTTTATTATTCCAAAGGATAGAGCCATATCATCCTGGCGTCAGTTTTATTTTATATAAACGGCTGTATTCATCTGTTTTTTATATACATTGTATGTAATATAATATTATTGTACATCAACCAAAATATAGTCACACTCCAATACCCGTGTATAAAAGAACATGTTATTATATTAGAATTGTCTGAAATTATCACATGATATACACATAAGTGTCACGTAAATAAATACTAATATACCTGTTGTCATAGATACTGAACCACCTTATACTCTATGTATTATTATGTTGTTATAAAGCCCGCATGTTGCTGTCGTGCCATTTAACACCATTTCATTTCATGTTATGTGTTATCTTGGTCAGTGATATTTTCCGAGTGTTACAATCTCAGATTATCGATTGTGGTTTACAGATTCAAGATCCACCCAATACCTCCATCAGATAAATCTCAACAACAACCGATTTAATAATATATACAAATGATAAAATAATATTAGAACAAATGAGTATAAGTACAAGTATAACAACGCTGATTAGAATCAATGTACAGGATTACTTATAGTATTCAGTCCAGTTTTACCAGTATTAGTTAAGTCGTCTTTGTTCTCGGTGCTTCTATTGCTTTGAAGTAGAAGTCTATAGACAGTTCTTTACAGATGTCTTCGTAGTAATTCAAAATTTCGCAGAATTACAAAGGATCTTGATGATCCAAAACGGACAGGATGAATAATCCTGGAATCGGTATAATCCGACGTGGTAATAATCGACAACAATAATCCTCAACTTGAATTTATAACAGAGAGATCAAGTCTCTCAAAACTGCGCAATTCAAAGCAAGGAGATAATTTATCTCAAAACAGCACAATGTAAAACAGAGAGATAATTAATCTCAAAACAGTACGAAATAATAACTTTTTGTAGAACCGTCCAATCATTTCAAAACACTTTTTCTAGAAGTTTCAGTATAAATACTATGATACATGTTCTAACCAACAATTAAGTCTCAATATCAATATAAATTCATTGTTTTGTAACACAGAATTAATTTCATGTCCTATTCAGAATTGTCTGTTTTTCCATAACCAATTTGGTGACCAGTTAACACTTCTTCAAATTCCTCTCCACAACCATATCTGCTTGCATACCGGAATTTGCTGTTCGTTTGGATAAAATACATCTCATAACTGGCCAGTGTCTTTACTTAATCAGACCACTATTAATTCAATTTCATCATTCTTAATTTATTACCTTTATTTTATTATCTATTGGATACTATTATATCTAAATCCTATTAGTATCCTTACGCTTATTTAAAATTACACTTTTATTTCCTTAATTGTGAATATACCTGTATTTACCTGTATTTAAACAACTGTATACAAACTAAATATGTAATAATTAATTATTAATTCTCACCTACAGTCATTAATAACGTTCTTTACCTATTAGTATTGTTGAGGTATCTACATGGATCTAGCAGATCTTTTATAACCATATTGTCCTGGACGTACACCGCGTTCTCAACAGGAACACCTTCTTATAATCCCAACATATCAACTCAAATCATTTGGATACAGATCGTTTGTTCTCATTGTGCCTGTTCTGTGGTATTTGTTACCCCTGAACATTAAACTATCATCCAGCCCAGAAACATTCAAAACTAATTTAAAAACTCATCTATTTAATTATGACCTATTATGGCACCCAGTCTGTGTAGCGCCTTGGGCATGCACATTAGCATGGAACTGTGCCCGGTATAAATGTACATATTATTATTATTATTATTATTATATAACACTGTGTATCGATTTGAAGGCAATCGGATATAAACTTTAGCCTCTAGAGCATCCGCATGATTCTTCAAAGTGATCTAGAGCCATAATTCTGGCAGTAATTATCGGACATCGTCAGAAATCAATTGGCTTCACCGTCTCATACACAATGTATAAATTTGAAGTCAATCGGATATAAACTTTAGCCTCTAAAGCATCCGTATGATTCTTCAAAGTGATCTAGAGCCATAATTCTGGCAGTAATTATCGGACATCGTCAGAAATCAATTGGCTTCACCGTCTCATACACAATGTATAAATTTGAAGTCAATCGGATATAAACTTTAGCCTCTAAAGCATCCGTATGATTCTTCAAAGTGATCTAGAGCCATAACTCGGGCAGTAATTATCGGACATCGTCGAAAATCAATTGGCTTCACCGTCTCACACACACTGTATAAATTTAAAGTCAATTGGATATTAACGTTAGCCTCTAGAGCGCCACAAGCAATTGTTAACGGGCTGACGGAACGATCGAGGGGGGTAACGGCAATATTTGGGAAATAAACATATATTTTAAGTTTCATCAAAATCGGATAAACATTTTGACCTCTAGAGGGTCCACAACCACCTTGTTATTATATACGTTTACACTATTTGCGTACAAGGAGCGGTCATTTTGTCGGGTAGTTTCGGTCCCATTTACACGAATTGCGAACTCGGCCATCATTATGGTGTGGCGGTAATATATTCGCACGGTTTTTGAAATCGGATAAAAATTGGGATCACAAGCTAAAAACGCGATTTTTCGTACAGATTAGGGGTCATAATCCAAGAAGAGCTTGGGGGGGATGGCTGAATGGTTAGCGTGCGCGCGCTGTATCATAAAGTCTGTCATTGAGTCGACTGGCGTGGTTTCGAATCCCCGGTTGTACGTGACAAGGAGTAGGGTCGCCTGTCCAGCCTCGTGGGTTTTCTCCGGGTCCTCCGGTTTCCTCCCACTGCTAAAGACCCCTACGCGCAAGCGAATTATTGAAATAAAATTAAAACCATATGTTAGTCCCGAAATGACCTAGTTTGTGTCAAGTGGACGTTAAACCCCATGTCTCTCTCTCTCTCTCTCTCCCTCTCTCTCTCTCTCTCCCAAGAAGAGCGAAAATCGACAGAAAAAGAGACCTTAGGATTATAAACATACATTTCAAGTTTTAGCAAAATGAGATAAAAATTGTGACCTCTAGAGTGTCCACAAGCTAAACATGTGTTTGTTCGTACAATGTATGAGACCATGATGTATGAAGTAGCAGTCCGATACCGAACGGAACCGAGATCTTTGGAAGATAAACCTATATTTCAAGTTTAATCAAAATCAGATAAAAATTGTGAAATATAGAGTGTCCAGAAACAAACCGTGGGCGGGCTGACAGGGATGATAACAATATACATATAGATATAAATAATGCAAAGTTATTACTTGTAACGCCTCTTCTAAAACAACGTGTTTCAAAACAGTAGAAGGAAATAAAGAGATCGAATTTTTATTCTATTATTATCTAATTATGAACTATTTATTTAATTAGTTCTAAAAGATTATTTTGTTTATACCCGGTGTTTATTTTCACATCTTCTTTCAGACAATTGATAGACACAGTTAGGTAATTACAGTGGCAGTTACAAGTGGATTGCCACAATAAACTCGATACATCACAGAACATTCTCGTAGGATGTGAAAATTAGAACAATAGTGTTATATTTAGGTTTTAAAAAGTGTCTGAATTGTCGTGGAAATAGTTGAGTTAATCTTTTTATTTCATTTAATTGGTTCATTAATCGAAATTGGATATTTAATGCTTACCTGTAAATAACCAATCAAAATAAATTACTTTTTTCAGTATTTTGGGATATCACCTGGCAACATTAACCTCTATTCTTAAGCTGTGTCGTAATTCCTTTATGGATTAGTATTGATTGATTACATAGTCCGGTGGCATTGGTCGAACCAACTAAAAACTGTAAATAACCAATCAAAATAAATTACTTTTTTCAGTATTTTGGGATATCACCTGGCAACATTAACCTCTATTCTTAAGCTGTGTCGTAATTCCTTTATGGATTAGTATTGATTGATTACATAGTCCGGTGGCATTGGTCGAACCAACTAAAAACGTAATATTGCTGTGAAAAAAAAAGTATTTCCAGAAAACAAGAATATCAGGTTTGTGATTTTTGTATTTTTTAATACAATTTTCGTTTCGGTTAAAACAAACTACATGTATACGCTAATTTCTTTTATTTCCTCTTTTTTTTTTTAAATGTTTTATTAATGGCCACTATTATTTTGTCGGATAGTCTTTCCTTTTTCCATATCGCCTGGACGAACGGTGTTTAATGACATGCCGTGCTATGAAAAATATTATAACTGCCACCCGTGCCCAAGTTTTATCATCTACTTATTATATCATGGGGGGGGGGTCAATTAATAGTTAATCAACTTAGCAAGTGTAGCAGACTTTAGATAACGATCTATTTTAAAATATTTACATTAGAATTTACATAAACAAAATTGAAAATACGATGGCATATTGTTTTACCTCAAGATAAAAAATAATGAATGACCTGAACACATTTCACCAATCTATTATAAGATTAGCAAATGGTTTATCTCTCTATTTTTTTAACAAAGCACAAAACAAAACATCACATTCGCTTCTTATTTGAGCGCTATTTTGAGGTGCGCGGTTCTCTTGGACTTACTATTGGCATTCATAATAAAATATCTCTCAACATCACCCCTTCCCCTCCCCATGATAAAATATTTCTCAACACCACCCTTCCACGCCCTATAATAAAATATCTCTCAACATTACCGTTCTACTCCCCATAATAAAATGTCTAGCAATACGTCGTTAGAAATACGACTACTTCTACTTCCAATAATAAAGTATATTTGTATAAAATATCTAGCAACAAGCGGTTAGAAATAGGAAGCCTTTTACTCCCCCTAATAAAGCCTCTGTAATTGTATAAAATTATATATCTAGGGTCATCCCATGTCAAATGGACCAGTGTATGTCTGGTGCCCCCCCCCCCCCCCTCAGAATATTATGTAAACATTTAGGGGCAATGTTGCTTGTGCACGCGTCTATCAATGGTGAAAGTTCTATCTATTTTTTTCCACAATATTCTGAGAGCGTCACCAGACAACTTTCTTAGAATTTGGTCCACTTGACAAGGCAGGACTCAATAGAGTTATATATGTAAATAAAATAATTAAAACTGATAACATAATATCCTATATGTTAAATAGAATCAAACTTACAGGTGAGTAAAACACTGGTTGAGGTCAGGTAGAATTGTAGACAGTATAATAGTCAACTGAATAAAGACTTCTCGACAAATAAACTAAACTTGTTTCTTCGAAAAACATAGTTTATATCACATGACACCAGTTATTGCGTTACTAATGCACACGGTACTCAAATAGCATGTATTCAATATACACACGACACTACTATGAAACACGATACATCTTAACCGGGCCAATATATAACTTAAATGACGTGTTATGTATTGTTTAATGGTCGAGAGCGAGACATTAAGTAATATATTGTAACAACAAGAGGACCGTCAGGTCCGAGTGTTTTTACAATATATTACGCAATGTCTCAGCTCGAGACCATTAAACATCTTAAAATACAGACACTCCGCACGTGCGTTTACAGTGAAATACGTCACTCGAGTCTAATATTTGACAAGGTACGAGTGGCAAGTTGCCCGTACGATTATTTGAAATAATGGTACGCCAACATCAAAGGGTGACGTCACATCTGTATTTTAAAAACACATAATATAATATATTAGATTAATTATAGAATCCTCGCCAAGTGGCCGATCGACAATACCACATCTAATACCGTAGGCGTACGGAGAAATTTTTGATTGGGTGGCGGTGGTGGTTGGTGCCCAAAAAATGTAGTTAGGTTCTTAGTATATAATAATAATAAATTCGCTGTTAAATTGAACACATTCAAGAACACAATATTTTTTATACAACTTTTACAAAGTACAATTGTGTGCCCAAATTTTCCCAGCATTTGGTGGCCAAAATGGGGGTGGGGCGGCCGCCCCCCAGCACCCCCCAGCTCGTACGCCTATGTCTAATACAATATCTAATACCATATCTAATACCATACCTAACACCATTCCTAAAACATAAATATTGTCCACAATAAAAAAACAAATTATTTAACTACCATCAAACTATACAAAAATGTATTGACAATTTCAATATTACGCTAGTCCAATGGCAACCTTCAATTAGAAAAAAAAAGACAAACAAAAAAAAAACAGTCCATAATATTTCTAAAAAATAGTCAACAATCTTAAATGCTATCCGAAAGTACACAATATTGTGGCCAGATGATTTTCGTACATCTTTTGATATAATGTTATAAAACCTCAGAAGTTACCTTGTCTTGATCTGCCAAACAATAGTTCAGGTAGTCGTTGTTCTACTCACTACGGGGCCCCATACGGAGCCCATTGGCCCTTAAGTACCATACGGAGCCCATTGGCCTTATATATTTTACAGAGCCACATAGGTGACGATTCCACTCTTATATAATTGTTTCGTACACGATTCCACTCATTTAATTGTTAATTCGTTTAAACGAAATATTAATACATGCATAACGAAATACAAATTCGTTATAAGGAAATATTAATTCGTTATAAGGAAATATTAATTCGTTATAAGGAAATATTAATTCGATATAACGACATAATTAATTCGTTTAAGACCGCGATTGTTTTTCTTAACATATTATGTTTAACGTCCCCAGTCATAAACTTTGTCACTTCGGGACTAACATATGGTTCAATTTGATTTCAATAATTCACTTGCGCGTAGGGGTATTTAGCAGTGGAACAGGCGCCGACATTACTCCTTGCCACGTACAAGCTGTCAATCGAAACAACGCCACCTGACTCAATGACAGACTTTTATGGTTTCACTGGCTTCTATCGGGTTTCGTAGTGGGGATTATGTAGCGGGATAGGGGCTTTGGATCGGAAGGTTGCGGAAACGATAGGGTCCATTCTCTCATGACCCCAATGCAATGGGATCAACTGTAGCAAAGATACGTGAGTGATGAAAGTATGTGTACTCGTATAATGTCATGATACAAATTACTTATAAAATTAAATTAGAATCGTTGAGGTCCTATACGATAGTTAAATCATATTACTAATTAAACTGAAGTGGAATAGTTGAGGCCCTATATACGATAGTTAAATTATATTACTCATTAAATTAAATTAGAATAGTTGAGACCCTTGTAAGATAGTTAAATCATATTAATCATTAAATTGAAGTGGAATAGGTGAGACCCTATACTACATAATTTTTAAAATCCAATACAACATAAATTAGAACATTTGAGACCCTTGTAAGGTAGTTAAAATCATTTTGTGTGATTAAATATTGGTATTAATAAAATTATAAATTGTAAAATATTACCTTTAATCACAAATTACAAGGAGAATTTAGTTGTTGATAAACCCAATGTTATCATCTATTACTTGAGATTTTGTGTGGCCAGTCAACTATGTTAGTATACGTCTTTTATACAGCAGTTAGTATGTTAATATATACCTCTTCCATATACCTGTTTTCTATATGAATATACCAGCCAGTATGTTAATATATACACCTGTCATATACCTGCTTAGAATATAAACTGTGATGTAACTTAATCAACCATAACGTTATAATAAACATGCCTGTAGTTATATATACCTGTATATGATACCCAGCTGTGTTCATACCTGTGGTTTTATATACCTTTAGTTTTATATATACTATTCAAAAAAAGTAGGGGATATTTGATTTTTAAGTGTTATTAAAGTCACCTAATGAAACTGACGAAGAAACAAATGACAAAATGAAATGAAGTTCACATTCATCGATTTATTCCAAATGATCGTTAGACTAAGTAAGGCACAGACTGACCATTATAAGGGTAAAATGATACCCGGGGTCAAACAGCAAAGTTACCTCAGCATCACAACCAAGTCAGTAACGGGTAAATCCTCCTGTTTGCCAAACAAGCATTGATCCGACGTGGCATACTCCTAATGAGACGTCTAAGGTCATTTTGGTCCAGGTTGTCCCATTCCTGTTGCAACGCAGCAGCAAGTTCTTGGACATTGGCAGGACGTTGTTGACGTTGACGTAACCTCTGTCCAAGCATGTCCCAGACATGCTCGATGGGGGAGAGGTCGGGACTCAGTGCTGGCCAAGGTAATGTGGTGATGTTCTGTTGTTGGAGGTAACCTGTAACGATCCTGGCCCTGTGACATCTTGCGTTGTCATCCTGGAAGATGAAACGGCGGCCATGACGTCGTGCGAACGGCACAACATGGACTGCCAAGATGTTGTCCCGGTAGTACTGGCCTGTAACACGCCCTGCAACAACATGTAAAGCCGTTCTTCCAGCAACAGTGATGCCTCCCCACACCATAACAGAACCACCCCCAAATCGATCATGTCTGATGACGTTAACGTCTTGGAAGCGCTCGTTTCGACGACGCCACACCCTCCTACGTCTGTCCAAAAAATCAACAGTGAACCTTGACTCATCTGAAAACATCACATTGCTCCAGCGTCGATTATCCCAGTGTTGACGATCCCTACACCAACGACGTCTTGCCTGAATGTGATGATCTCCCAAACAAGGGATCACGCGAGGGCGCGAAGGTGACCCCTATGCAGTCGATTCCGAATCGTCTGGCCACTCACTCTCACACCAGTGTCTGTTTGAAGACGAGCGCTGATCTGATTTGCTGTGATGACACGATTTCTCAAGGCCAAGGTACGGATAAATCGATCCTGGGCTTGAGTTGTCGCCCTTGGTCGATCTGAGCGTGGTATGTCCTGTACAGATTGCGTATCACGGTATCTGGACCATAGCCTGCTTATGACAGACTGAGAAACATTCATCGTCCGCGCCACAACCGCCTGTGTTGTGCCGATCTGTATCATGCCAAGGGCACGTAACCTTTCATTTTGGGTAAGCCGACGCATATCAAAATTTGTTTTCTGGTCACTAAAACAATTAAACTGATGTTTCCACCCTGGAATTCAATGCCACAATGACTGGAACATTCAAAGTCAGAGTCGTGCAAATCTTGGGTTGGACCCCCATGATGATCCCAAGCATCACCTGCATTCCATGCGGTAGCTATTGGTGCGTTTGGGCGTCACATGTAACTGGAAATGTTTCTTCTGTTAGGTTCTATAATGACTTTTTTCGTAGTCATTTGCATATTTTAGTATTATGCCCCCAAAATCAAATATCCCCTACTTTTTTTGAATAGTATACCTTTAGTTTTTATATACTATTGTTCAAGTATCATCTTGCTACAACTCATCCTGTATACTTCCCACACATCTAATATTCCTATTGGAGTAAATATACCCAAGATCAAACAATGCTAAGACTAGTCAAGCAATTCACTTGGCCCTTAAGTGCACGATTCCACTCATATATAATTTACAGATCCCATTCAGTGCACGAATGGAAGTGGGTGTTCGGTGGGGGTTGGGGTAGAGCCTAGTGTCGCACTTTGATTTCTAGCTTCGGAAGACAAATCAAAACACTTGGAAGAATTACGGGGATTCCTTCGAAAACAACATCATCCTTTAAATTTGATAAATATCCAGATAGAAAACGCCTCTAAACTTAAAATTGGTGTAACTCAGAAAACCCAATGATTCCATTAACATAACACTTTTGACAACATTAAATCCATCTCAAGAAAGAGGATCGTCCGTTGTAAAGGGGCACCTGGATGATTTGAAGAACGACGGTTATAAAATGAAATACAATCTAAATAACACTAAAATTGTGAAAAGCTTGAAACAACCCCCAAATCTTAACATTCTGTTGTAAGACCTGTTCAAAAATTTTACAATGAATATTCATTCAAATTACTAAAGATGTGAAATTCTATGTGAAACAAAATATGGATTGTAAATCTAAATATGTGATTTACCTGTTAATTTGTAATGGTTGTGGTGGCAAGTATATAGGTAAAACCATTGACCAATTGAATTTACCCATTAATCAACACCGCTTAACATCGCACGAAATAGAGCCTTACCGGTTAGCGAACATTTATATATTTGCGGTAAATTCAAGGTTTTCTCTTTATATAAGCTCAAGTTTAGTGATAATAGTCTCTTGGAAATAAAAGACAGTAATTTTATCGCTAAGTATGGGAAATGCTGACCAGTCCACGGGTTCAATAGTCCACTGTTATCTATAATTAGTGTTAGAGTTGGGTTAGGGCTAGGATTCATTAGTCCATTGATATGTTTTGGGTTAGGGTTAGGGTTAGGTTTATTGATACCCATATTTATAGTATTTCTTATAGCGGCGGACTAGTGCACCCGCGGACTAGTGAACCCCTTCCCTAACAATAATCTAAGCTT